GGAGGAGCACTTGGCTGTCATGCACCAGAAGCTGCAGCACGAGGTGACAGAAGGGTGACATTAGGGTGACATTGGGGGGTGGGGGGGATCTTTCTGTCCCCCACTGTAGGGTGTGTCACCTATAGGTGGTGATGGGGTGGCATTGACAGCACCGTGGGGCACATGGGGTGACAAGATGGAGGGAGGGTGGCAAGATAGGGGGGTGACAAGATAGGGAGTAGGTGACAAGATTGGGGGAGAGTGACAAGGTGAAGGGGAGGTGAGAAGATGGGGGTAGGTGACAAGATTGGGGGCAGGGTGACAAGGTGGGGGTGACAAGGTGGGGGTAGGTGACAAGATTGGGGGGCTAGCAAGGTGGGGAGGAGGGTGACAAGGTGGGGGGGACAAGATAGGGGGTAGGTGACAAGACTGGGGGGTGACAAGGTGGAGGGGAAGGTGACAAGGTGTGGGGGGGTAACCCCTAAGCCCCCCCCCCAGATCCGACCCCTACACCCAGCCCCATCACACTGCCACCCACCCCTGGGGTGGGGTGGGGGGGCTCACGTCCCCACACAGGGGTGGGCTGTGACCCCCCCCTCCTCTTTTTTCCCCCCTCCAGCTCCCCAATTTCTTCCTGAAAATCCCCGACTATGGCCTCTACTCCCCTGACGTCGAATTCATCAACCACCTCCTGCACCTCCACACGCGGTGAGTGACCCCCCCCCAAAACCTTCCCGGGGGGAGTCCACAGGTTGGGGGGGGGTGACAACCATATCACCCCCCCTCCCTGTCCCCAACACCAGCGGGCGGCCGATGTACCAGGTGGCGGTGGCCTTGTGCCGGGCGGTGGCCTGGGGTTACTTCGCCAGCCTGCGGCTGGAGGTGCTGGCGCTCACCCGGCACCCCGAGGACTGGAGCATCCGGGCGCGTTGGCGCCTGACGGGGCTGCCCCTCCACCTCTGCCTCCTGCGCTTCTACCGACGGGACAAACGCCACCTCCTGCGGTCAGCACCCTCCCGGCACCCTTTTGTCACCCCACTGTCCCCAGGTTCCTTCTCATCCCACTGGAGCGGGAGCTGGGATCACCCCGTCCGCTGTCCTTGCCAGTCTGTCACTCTGTTACTGTCCCCTCTGTCACCACATCCTTGTCACCCCACGGCCCGACAGCCCTTTCTCACCACAGACCTGTGTCCCCTCTGTCACTGTGTCCCTGTCACCCCATGTCCCCACATCCCTGTCCCTCCCCAGGGTGGGATGCCAGCCCCACGTCCCTGTTACTCCTGGGGAGGGGGAATGCCAGCCCTGTGTCCCAGTGTCCCCCATGTCCCCACATCCCTGTCACCCCCCCAGGGTGGGATGCCAGCTCCATGTCCCCTACGTACCTCGTGTCCTTATCAATCCCCAGGGTGGGACGTCAGCCCCGTGTCCCCCACATCCCGCATCCCCACATCTCTGCCACTCTCTGGAGCGGGGACGTCCCTGTGTCCCCGTGGCCCTGCCACTCCCCAGGGAGGAATGCCAGCCCTGTGTCCCCCATGTCCCCACATCGCTGTCCTTCCCCAGGGTGGGATGCCAGCCCCGTGTCCCTTGTGTCCCCCGTGTCCCCACACCTGCCCCTGACTCCGTCCCCCACCCCCCCCAGGTCCTACGACGCCTTCTCCACCTTCTTCCTCAACTCGCAGGGGCTCATCCGCTGCCACCGCGTGGACAAGGTAAGGCCGGGGGGACACCGGGGGACCCCGCAGTGTCCCTCATGTCCTCCCCCCGCCCCTAATTTTGTCCCCCCCCCAGCTGATGCCAGCCCCCACGGCCGTGACCGAGGCCAAGAAGCTGCTGGTGGCAGCGGCGGTGGCAGTGGCACTGGCCGAACCGGGACCGGCCTTACGCCTCGCCCTGAAGCCCTCTGCCACCTCAGGGGACACCTGAGTCCCCAAATCCCTGTCCCCTTCCCCCCTTAACTTAATGTACAGAATAAAACCAAACAAATGGAGCTGCCGCAGCGGTGACAAGAAGGGACAGCCGTGTCCCCAAACGGGGAGGGGTAGAGGGAGCCTGGAGCCACTCGTCTTCCAAACCAGCTGTATTGTGTCCCCAAATGTCCCCAAGTGTCCCCAGGGCTCCTCAGCCCAGCTCGTCCCGGCTCTTGCCCACCTTCTTGGGCATCTTGCGGGCACTGGCGTCCTCCAGCTCCTTGGCCTGGTAGTAATGGGGGGCCACCTCCAGCAGCCACGCGCTGTCGATCTCGATCACCTGGGGACAAAGGGGACAGGCGGCGGAGAGGGGGGGTCACTTGGTGGCCCTGGGGACTGTCATGGCACCCCCAGCCTGGGGGGGACACAGTGCTATCCTGTTGGAGCCGGGGGCAGGGGCTGTCATTGTCCTGGGCACAAAGGGGACAGGGCTACCAGGTCCTCGTTGATGTCCCATCATCCTTGGTCCCCATGGGGACATGGGGTCACCATCCTGTCACCCTGATCCTCGTGGGGACATGGCTACGGGGTCCCCTTCACCCTCCTGCCACCCCATTCCCAATGAGGGACGGAGGTCCCTGTCCCCACAGTGGTGGCCATGTCCCCATCCTGATGAACCCAACCCTGTGACTATGTCCCTGTGCCATGCTCAGCGTCCCTGTCTCTGTCCCTGAGGCCGTGTCCCCAGTGTCACTGGCCATGCCCATGGTGGTGTCCTTGACCCTGTCCCCACCCCCACATCCCTGTCGCAGTGTCCCCATGTCCCTGTCCCCATGGTGACATCTCCACACCCACAGTGGTGTCCCTGTCCCCATCACTGTCCCAGTGTCCCCATAACCCAATCCCCATGCCCACCGTGGTGCCCCTGGCCCCAGTCCCCATCCCCACAGCCACATCCCTGTCCCTATGGCCATATCCCTGTCCCTATGGTGACATCCTCATGCCTACAGTGGTGTCCCCGTCCCCATCCCTGTGTCCCCATCACTGTCGCCATGGCCAACTCCCCATGCCCACAGCAGTGTCCCTGTCCCCATCCCCATCCCAAGGTCCCCACAACCACACTCCTGGCCCCACAGCATCCCCCCAGCCCCATGCCACTGTCCCCAGCCACGTCCCCGTGTCCCCACCTGCCGCATGAACTCCTTGGTGGTGAAGACGAGCTCGTGGTAGAGCACCCAGCGGGGCTGCTCCTCGAAGAGGGAGCTGTTGGGGTGGATGAAAACCGTCTGCTGGTGCTTCACCGTGCGGTAACCGCCCCGCGTCAGCCGTGCCGTGTGGTAGAAGAAGCCGGCAGTGATGGCCTGGGGAGGGGGGCGGCAGGTTGGGGGTCAGCATCAGGGGGAAGGAGGGGTGCCAGAGGATCCTGGGGTGGGGGAGCAGGAGGCAAAATGGGGGTCCCTGGAGGGCCCAGGAGGGGAAATAGGGCGGTCTCTGCAGGTTCTGCGGGGGACTTGGGGGGTCTCAGGGGCTCCTGGGGGGTCCCAGAAGGTGAAAGGGGGGTCCCAGGAGGGAAAATGAGGGTCCCTGGGGATCTCATGAAGGGGAAATTGGGGTCCCCACAGGTCCTGGGGGAAACCTGGGGGTCCCAGAGCCTCTTGGGAGTCCCAAGATAGGAAATGGGAGTCCCAGGAGAGGAAACAGGGGTCACTGGGGATCCCATAGGGGAAAATGGGGGTCCCTGCAGGTCCTGGTAGAAATGTGGAGGTCCCAAGAAGGGAAATAGGGGTCCCTAGGGATCCCAAGAGAGGAAATGGGGGGTACCAGGGGTCCAATGGGGGGGAAATGGGAGTCCCCATGGGTCCTGGGGGGAACTTGGGGGTCCCAGAGGCTCCTGGTGGGGGGCCAGGAGGGGAAATGAAGGTCCCTGTAGTCCTAGGCTAGGAAATGGGGGCCCCTGAGGATCAAAGGAGGAGACATGGGTGGGCCCAAGATGGGAAATGGGGGTCCCTGGGGATCCCATAGTGGGAAATGGGGGTCCCCACAGGTCATGGGGGAAACCTGGGGGGTCTCAGGGGCTCCTGGAGGGGGTCCTAGGAGAGGCAATGGGGGTTCCTGGGGATCCCAGGAGGGGAAATGGGAGTCCCAGGGGGTCCCAGGAGGGGAAATGGGAGTCCCTGGTGATCCTATGGGGGCAGGAACGGGGTTCCCTGCAGGTCCCTGGGGCAACTTGGGGGTCTCAAGAGTCTCCTGGGGGTCCCTGGAGTGGAAATGGGGGTTCCCAAGGGGGAAATGGGGGCCCTGGGGTGGAAACCGGGGGCTCCGCGGGCAGTTGGGGGGTCCCGGGGTGGGGGGATCATGGGGGTGACCTTGCGGACGGGTACGTAGTCGCTGGCGCAGGAGGAAGGGGCGACCTCGACGCGCTCCATCAGCCCCTCCAGCTGCTCCCGCACGTCCCGCGCCCGGCGCAGGGAGCGCGCCTGTACGAAGTGCTCGTAGCACCACTGCAGGGAGTGTCCACTGGCCACCCACTGCAGGGGGAAGACACAGGGACACAGGGGGGGACACGGGGACACGGGGGACACACAGGGACACAGAGGGGCGACACAGAGAGGAGCAAGGACATGGCGGGACACAGTGGGGACAGGGACACGGGAGGGGAGGACAAGGACACACTCAGCACCTGGTCCTGGACACCCACCCCGTGCC